ATACGTGTCATAGACCTAGAGGAGATTCCTTATAATGAATTACAGACTGCTGAGCATCGCCATTGATGGTACAATTGACGGCGCGTATGCCCGAATTTGTGGGAAACGCCCCCTTTTTGGCTGATTTTGGCGTCTGAGGCAACATTTGGAGAGCGATAACTAAATAAATTCTGGGCCGCTTCAAAAGCACTCGGGCATACGTGTCATAGACCTAGAGGCGATTCCTTATAATGAATTACAGACTGCTGAGGGTCGCCATTGATGGTACAATTGACGGCGCGTATGCCCGAATTTGTGGGAAACGCCCCCTTTTTGGCTGATTTTGGTGTCTGAGGCAACATTTGGAGAGCGATAACTAAATAAATTCTCGGCCGCTTCAAAAGCACTCGGGCATACGTGTCATAGACCTAGAGGAGATTCCTTCTAATGAATTACAGACTGCTGAGTGTCGCCATTGATGGTACAATTGACGGCGCGTATGCCCGAATTTGTGGGAAACGCCCCCTTTTTGGCTGATTTTGGCGTCTGAGGCAACATTTGGAGAGCGATAACTAAATAAATTCTCGGCCGCTTCAAAAGCACTCGGGCATACGTGTCATAGACCTAGAGGAGATTCCTTATAATGAATTACAGACTGCTGAGTGTCGCCATTGATGGTACAATTGACGGCGCGTATGCCCGAATTTGTGGGAAACGCCCCCTTTTTGGCTGATTTTGGCGTCTGAGGCAACCTTTGGAGAGCGATAACTAAATAAATTCTGGGCCGCTTCAAAAGCACTCGGGCATACGTGTCATAGACCTAGAGGAGATTCCTTATAATGAATTACAGACTGCTGAGTGTCGCCATTGATGGTACAATTGACGGCGCGTATGCCCGAATTTGTGGGAACGCCCCCTTTTTGGCTGATTTTGGCGTCTGAGGCAACATTTGGAGAGCGATAACTAAATAAATTCTGGGCCGCTTCAAAAGCACTCGGGCATACGTGTCATAGACCTAGAGGAGATTCCTTATAATTAATTATAGACTGCTGAGTGCCGCCATTGATGGTACAATTGACAGCGCGTATGCCCGAATTTGTGGGAAACGCCACCTTTTTGGCTGATTTTGGCGTCTGAGGCAACATTTGGAGAGCGATAACTAAATAAACTCTGGGCCGCTTCAAAAGCACTCGGGCATACGTGTCATAGACCTGGAAGAGATTCCTTATAATGAATTACAGACTGCTGAGGGTCGCCATTGATGGTACAATTGACGGCGCGTATGCCCGAGTGCTCTTGAAGCGGCCCAGAATTTATTTAGTTATCGCTCTCCAAATGTTTCCTCAGACGCCAAAATCCAACCAAAACGGGGGCGTTTCCCACAAATTCGGGCATACGCGCAGTCAATTGTACCATTAATGCGAAACTCAGCAAGTGACTGCTGAGTTTCGCCATTAATGGTACAATTGACGGCGCGTATGCCCGAATTTGTGGGAAACGCCCCCTTTTTGGTTGATTTTGGCGTCTGAGGCAACATTTGGAGAGCGATAACTAAATAAATTCTGGGCCGCTTCAAGAGCACTCGGGCATACGTGTCATAGACCTAGAGGAGATTCCTTATAATGAATTACAGACTGCTGAGCATCGCCATTGATGGTACAATTGACGGCGCGTATGCCCGAATTTGTGGGAAACGCCCCCTTTTTGGCTGATTTTGGCGTCTGAGGCAACATTTGGAGAGCGATAACTAAATAAATTCTGGGCCGCTTCAAAAGCACTCGGGCATACGTGTCATAGACCTAGAGGAGATTCCTTATAATGAATTACAGACTGCTGAGCGTCGCCATTGATGGTACAATTGACGGCGCGTATGCCCGAATTTGTGGGAAACGCCCCCTTTTTGGCTCATTTTGGCGTCTGAGGCAACATTTGGAGAGCGATAACTAAATAAATTCTCGGCCGCTTCAAAAGCACTCGGGCATACGTGTCATAGACCTAGAGGAGATTCCTTATAATGAATTACAGACTGCTGAGTGTCGCCATTGATGGTACAATTGACGGCGCGAATGCCAGAATTTGTGGGAAACGCCCCCTTTTTGGCTGATTTTGGCGTCTGAGGCAACATTTGGAGAGCGATAACTAAATAAATTCTGGGCCGCTTCAAAAGCACTCGGGCATACGTGTCATAGACCTAGAGGAGATTCCTTATAATGAATTACAGACTGCTGAGTGTGGCCATTGATGGTACAAATGACGGCGCGTATGCCCGAATTTGCGGGAAACGCCCCTTTTTGGCTGATTTTGGCGTCTGAGGCAACATTTAGAGAGCTATAACTAAATAAATTCTGGGCCGCTTCAAAAGCACTCGGGCATACGTGTCATAGACCTAGAGGAGATTCCTTATAATGAATTACAGACTGCTGAGTGTCGCCATTGATGGTACAATTGACGGCGCGTATGCCCGAATTTGTGGGAAACGCCCCCTTTTTGGCTGATTTTGGCGTCTGAGGCAACATTTGGAGAGCGATAACTAAATAAATTCTGGGCCGCTTCAAAAGCACTCGGGCATACGTGTCATAGACCTAGAGGAGATTCCTTATAATGAATTACTCACTGCTGAGTGTCGCCATTGATGGTACAATTGACGCGCGAATGCCCGAATGTGTGGGAAACGCCCCCTTTTGACGGTTGAGGCAAGCTTTGGAGAGTGATAACTAAATAAATTCTGGGCCGCTTCAAAAGCACTCGGGCATATGCGTCGCAGAACTAGAGGAGATGCATTATTATGGCTTATAGAGTGCTGAGTGTCGCCATTGATGGTACAATTGGCGGCACGTATGCCAAATTTCTGGGACACGCCCCTTTTTTGCCTGATTTTGACGTCTGAGGTTGTGATGACTTAAGAGATACTGGGCCGTTTCAAAAGCTCTTGGGCGCACGCGTAGCAAACCTACATAAGATTGATTAATTAGCAGTAACAGCGTGCTAAATGTCGCCATAAATGGTACTCTTCATGTCGCGTTGGCCAAAATGTCTGGACCACGCCCACTCATTTTGGCATTTTTATTTTTAATACCATTCTTGGGGGGGGGGGGGGGGGAGGAAGTGGAATAGCTGGTGAAATGAAATTTGGACACTTTGTAAAATATAGTTCGGATCAAAAAACGTTTCGACTCCTTAATTATTCAGCGCTTTAAGTATAATGTATTTGAGCTAATTACGCGATGAGAACAAAAAACAGAAAAAAACCTGCATTCAGGTTCCGTGTTTATCAATTAAGAAAATATTCAGTGTAGTTGCCGTTTTGTTATACATTACATATGTTGCTAAAAAATGTATTTAGGAACGCAACAACGTCACTGAATCCTCGAGTCTCCTCACCAACTGCGGATTCTTTTTGGTATTTAAAGTCCTGGGGAACCACTTTAAATTTAAGTAATTTGAAAATAAAAAATGTTTCCATGGAGCTAGAGACATTGGCTATATATATAGCAAAATGCAACTAAATTGATGGTGTGGTTCTCTTAGGGTTTGCATTGAATGTTGAAAAGACGTATGATTTTTCTGCGGTTCGCCATAGGAACCAATGCGTAAAAGTTTGGTTGCATTTTGGCCAGACTTAATATAAACCCAGGACCACGAAATTTCTCGTGGAGGTTGAGGGCAGCGTATTAAAACGTGACAATAAAGTGCAAAGCGATTGAGTGATTAGTTTTCTTTGTATAAAAAAAGATCGCTTTGGTCCATTGAGTTACGGGCGCCGGCGCAACGGCGGCCGATAGATGGCGTAAGTAGTGGCGGCGCTCGCCTGTCCGAGAATCCTGGGGTTGTCTGAAGACGAACGGGGGCGGCTTTATGTTTTGTTACGTTATGTTACGCTATGTTGTGTTATGTTGACAATATGTTACGTTTACAACATATTGTTTGCAATATTTTATGGTTAAATAATGTTACGTTTACATTATGTTATAGTTACAGCATATTATGTGCACAACATGTTGCGTTTAAAGTGTGTGATGTTTACAATATATTATGTTTGCAATATGTTGTTTACAATATAATAAGTTTAAAATGTGTTATGTTTAGAATATGTTATGTGCACAATAAGTTGTGTTTACAAAAGTTTGTGTTTTTTTTACTTTGGAAAGCAGTGAGAATACTGATGTTGAAGCACGCGAGACTCGTCAGTAAACTTCACTTACGAAGAAACTTCACAACATTGTGTTTGATTACTTTGCAGGGCCTATGTCAAATTAAGATCTCATTTAGCCAGAACCTGAACGTCAGGCGTTGCATTGCTTGTCGTCGCCAGCTTGCAGGCGCATACTGACGCAAACCCGTAAACGTAGTCTAACGTAGACCAACGCTGCTCTGTGAATGTCATCTAGTGTAAACGCGCTGATGAAAAAAACAAAAAAAAAACAGGAAAAAACATGTGTGTTATATAAGGAAAACAATGCAAATTAGTGAATTGCATAAACAGCGGCATCTTATTCTGCCGGGGCATGGGGGCAGCGAAGGAGGGAAGAAAATGAGAGCGTACGGTGACGCCAGAGACTGTGCGAGGAGCAGACGACGCTCTTCGTCGCTATGACTGGCAAGGAACAGTGTGTAGCGACAAAGGCAACAAGCCTTTGGGTCCACCCTGTATCCTTTCAATCGGAGCTCGGCGATCTGACGTCCACCGCACGCTTTCCTTCTCTCTTTAGGTTTCTCTCCATATAAGCAGCAGGCCAAAGGTCACGTGATAAATATGAGCACTGCACACGCGTAGAGAATAATACGAACACAAATATTGCGTCCAATTCCCTCCAGAGAGTGAGAAAACAGAACGACCGTTGCGGAATGACGCACAAGAAATTATTTGCTCACTGATGAGCGCTATAATTCATTTTGGGAAGACTGGTTGTATTTACCTACGTTGGCCGGGTTTGTGACGTTTACCCTGTGGCGTCACGCTTAAAGCAGTGCGTGGAGCACAACAGCCCGAAGCAGCCGGCGTGACATGCTGATTTTCTTACCTTTCGTTGTACTATTGACAGACGCATCGATTGGGAAGCCGTCCCCTCCTTTTGCAATGTAGTCAATCGTGACCACACTGTACGTGGATTCGTTGGAGACGTCTTCGTAAACGGGAACCTTGCAACGCGTGCCCAAAATTTTCAGAGACTGCACACGGGAACCGCTTTCTCGGGAGAGGTTGTACGTTACCCGGATACCTGCGGGAAACGAAACGAAGCCGACGTGACTGGTTACACGAAGAATAGCGAGAACGTCTTATTCTATTGAGACTGATTATAAGTGAAGTGTGTAAATTAATACGAGTCTCGATCCACATAATTGACTACCATGCTATATAAGCACTTACGATTGATCTGATACGAACAATGCTTGTAGTGCAGTACTTTGTCTTATATGTCAAAGTTTGAGTTATAAGCTTCAATTTCTCACAGTGAATGATTATAAACTGTGGTACACAGGCTGTTGTATGTTCGTTTACACCAACGTAGTGGTGTTGAGAACCCCTGCCGTTCTCAACACCAACCTAGTGGTGTTGAGAACGGCAGGGAGATCTTTCAGTTGTGACTGGTTGTGACACCTCCTGCACCTTCAATATTACCTCGGTGTATCTTCAGATTTCAGCGTGCACGAACAGCCGAAGTACAACGGAAGGCAACCAGGGGGTGCTAGATGCCGAGCACCAGAAAGAGACGACGTGCCGTTCTCATTTCGTCAATTACTATAATCCTGTGCTATGTACACTTCTTTACTTTACATGTTGTTTTCACTGGCGTAAAGTATGTGATATGCTGAAATTTAATAAAAAAAGCGGCAGGTACTCTAACCAACTGTGTTTAAAAAGCCCGACGTTTCGTGGCCTGCTCGGCCTCTTGTTTAAACTTATTTGGTTGGGTGTTCCATCTTTCTCTATTCCTCCGAAGAAGACGACGAAGTGATCTCGGAGTGAGGTTTCCCCATTTCGAGCTCCGCGAGAATTCCTTGAAATTCTGGTCTAAAGACCGAATCCACCCTGAATTCACACTGAAGAACTTACCGGCACACCACCCGCAAGACCGCCGTCGAAATTCCGGCGAAAGAAGTGAGTCTCCTTGATTATTCGAACACTTTCCGCCCAGACCACGCAGTCCGTCGCTAAGACTACATTGAAGCACAGGCCCTCGCTGGCGCGGCGCGCATGGCGCGCCGAGTTCGCCAGCGTAGCTCGCCGCTAGGCACCCAAAAGCCCTCCAACTCAGGCTCCATCGACGACACTCGCCGATCGGAACCCCTTGAATTCACCCCGACCAACGTTTTTCTGCCGTCATGGCTCACTTCGCAAACGAGCACTCCCAAGCACCGTGGAGCAGTCGCCTGCCCACCATGGCTGATTTACGCGACACCACGCCCTGAAAGAGCGCCCCATCAGCCCAGAAACGATTAAATCAATACGAGACCGTTATAATCAAACCACAGACGGGAATTGACCTCCGTCAAGTACCCCAGACCGAACTCGGCTTAGCCGTTATCACGACCGCTAAGCTCACCATAGCCGAGCGCGGAGAAACCTACATCAAAGTCAGAAATCAACAAAACTTGATCGCCGTGGACACATACAAACCGAGTGCCCGGGACAAGATTCTACTGATTGAATCGCCCCCTATACAAGGCACAGACCACGCGACCCGCACCTACTTGGCCATGAACAGTGCCATGCCCGCGGTGTACTACATGGTGTTCAGGGATGGTCGAACGAGCGGCTACTCGAGAACATCGGATGCAACGGAAGAAAACTCATATCCGCCCATACCATCGGCAACAGCAATACCACTCTACTTACTTTCGAAGGACTCTACCCCTCAAAATACGTCACCATAAACTGGGTAGTTACACGCGTGTACCCCTATAGGCCTCGAAGCCTAATATGCGGCACGTGCTTGAGCATCGGACACAAATCCGAGGTCTGCCCGCAGAAGAACCACCTCAAGTGCTGCCAGAAATGCAGCAAGGAATTTCCACCCGACACCAAAATTGACGAGAACCACCAATGCACCCCATACTGCAAGAACTGCGACGAAGACCATTCTCCACTCGACCCCAGTTACCCGGCCCGGGTCTACGCCGACGAACAACACAACCAAGGTATCTTATACCGCAAGAAAAGACAACTACTTGCCTCAAGGCCGATGCCCCGACGCCCAAATGCAAGGGCACCTCCCCAATCGCGCCACTACCTAGAAATAGCCAACCGGTATGCAGTACTGGAAGACGAATACCCGATGCTACCGCAGAAACAGGAGCAAACCAACCCTCCCGGCACCGACCGCAACGCAGGCCAGGACAGGCCCAGAAGACCACCTACCCAGAAGCCGACACACACGCCGGGGGACAAACTTCCAAGAACCAAGAGACGCCCCAGGGCCCGGGCCAGGAGCCTGAGTCTGCCGAGGAAGAGTGACCCATTCCTTTCTCCTCAAGGCGACCCCAAAAGCACGTTTACCAAAACACAGTCGTACAGGGAAGCTCTCATTAAAGCGCGCAAGAACCCCACAATTTGCAATCAAGCCCGAGCGATCGCTATGGGGATCCAACAGAGACACACACAGACCCCCAAACCCCTAATAGCGCCACCATCACGAAACGAACATCACTCCATGAATCAGGAGAGCATGGAGGAAGCGGACTCGGTAACGACGCCGTCACAACCCCAGCCTGCTAGAGAGATAACCCTAACCGCACCTGTGCAAATGGTGCACCAACTAACAATTCAAAATCAACAAATGCAACTACAAATGAACCAAATGGAAACGAAGATTAATCTTCTCATGAGCCGCAAGAGAGGCTACCAAGACCAAGAGCCACAAGAGGGGACCAAAGTGCATATCCAAGAGATCACTACCCCACAAGAACGAGGACATGAATAAAACAACACAAAGCAACAATAGCACCACAATATGGCAATGGAACTGTAGAGGCCTTCGAAGAAAAAAAGCCGAACTCACTCTTCGCATACAACAGACAGAACCCAAACCCGACATTATCCTCATACAGGAAGCCAACGGAGACCTCAACACCCCAGGTTACCAAAAGTTCACTCAACCCAGCATCTGCATCACATATAGGAAAAACAAAAAGCTACAACCGCCCAATACAGCTATTGCCCCAATAACAACGACAGCTACCTACGTAGCGAAGCAAATTCCATCCAACCAAATCAACACTGATCAGCTCAACTATCAAAACCGAGAAATAGTAGGCATCGAATGCCAGCCACCAAACCAATCCCAACCAATTACATTATTTAACGTATATTGGCGACCAAATACCAAGATCGCGAAAACGCAGTCGATCCGAGACCTGGCTCAAAAAACAAAAGGTCATCGAGTCATCATCGCAGGTTACTTCAATTGTCACCATCCGCTCTGGGAATACGAGAATACAAATCACAACGGCAACACACTACACAATCAAACAGCACAACACAAATTTCACCTCATCAACGATGTCACTGCCACTACAAGAATCGGCAACAGCGTTGAGAAGGGCACCAGCCCGGACCTCTGCTGGTCGAACAACCCCACCGGCATAACATGGTCAAATACCGAAGAAACCCTAGGTAGCGACCACTACATTTTCCAAATCGAGGTCGCCCAACCCACGACCAATCGCAAAAAGTCTGACAAATCAAAACGAAACCTTCCCAAAGCGACCATCACCAAATGGGAGAAAGTCCGAAGTGACTTAGAAAAAAACGAACCCCCCGACAACTTTAGCGCGTGGGTCAAGGACATTGCAGAAAGCATCAAGAAACACACTGCCACACCTACCAAGACAGATTAGTCACCCAGCATAAATAGACATTTACTCAATCTATGGGACACCAGACACAAGCTGGTTAAGAAATGGAAAAAGAAAAAAACAAATCGGAACCTCAAGAAGGTCATTCAGAAGGTCACCGAGGAAGCTGAAAATTACGCCCAGAAAATCGCCGACGACCAGTGGATTGAACTACGTAACGGATTCAACGGCCAACTCCACACCACCAGAGTCTGGAACATACTGAACGCACTGCTCGACAAAAAGAAGCCAAAACACTCATTAGAAAAGATCAAACTTAAACAGGGCTACACAAATGAAGAGTTGGCGGCCAAACTCCACACACTCTTCTACCCCTATTCTGCACCATACAACCCGGGACCAGGTCAAACCGCCCTCACTGATGACACGCGAATAACCGAAACGCAGGAAGGATCAGACAGCCCCTTTAGCAAAAACGAGCTGTTGACAGCCCTCTACTCCATCAAACGAAACACCACCCCCGGACCAGATAGCATAACGTATACGATGCTTAAGAACTTGCCTAAGAACTACATCGATGCCCTCCTTAATCAGATTAACCGAGCCTGGGAAAGTGGCAACATTCCTCATAAATGGAAGACCGCTGAAGTCATCCCCATCCCCAAACCAGGCAAGACACCCACCGAAATCACGAACCTAAGGCCCATCTCTCTCACATCTTGCGTCGGAAAACTCATGGAAAAGATGGTCCTCCGACGACTGGAGTGGCACCTGCACAACCAGGGAGCCTTCCACCAGACCATGACCGGATTCCGTAGACACGTGTCCACACAAGACACGATGCTTCGAATCAAACAAGACGTCTACGACTATCCAAGCACAGCTGAAACTCGCACGATAATTGGCATAGATATCCGCATAGCATATGACAACGTCAGTCACCAAGCCATTTTTGACAAAATCGCTGAAATCAGCCCAGGCAAACGATTAGAAGCCCACATCAGAAGCTTTCTTTCCAACCGCACCATACGGATCAAAATTGGAGAATATAAAAGTGAAGAGAGAGTAATTACCACCGGGGTACCACAAGGCGCCATACTATCACCCACGCTTTTCAACATTGCCATGAAGGACCTACCTCACAAACTTCACGATATCACGGACCTCCAATCAGCAGTATATGCGGATGACATCACACTGTGGTGCTGCAGCGGCTCCCCAGCAGAACAAGAACACAGATTACAAGAGGGCCTAGACGCTGTCCATAACTACATCCACACATTGGGACTGTCCTGCGCCCCAGAGAAAACCGAGTATGTCGTAGTCCTCAACTCCAACCAATCGCAGGCAGAAAAAACCTGCGACCTCATCCAACTGAATCTATCAGGACACGCCATCCCAAGAAGGAAAAAAATCAGAATAT